ATCACAATAAAAATTATCTATTGATGATGGTGATGATGATGGTGGTGATGGTGAAGATGGTGGTGGTTGTGGGGAGGGTGATGATGACACTGATAGTGAAGACTTTGATAGTGGTGACGGCCATGATAGTGATGATGATGGGAACGGTGGGTGATGATGATGGTGATGACATCACAAAGGTGATGATGATGATGACAATAATAATGCACTGACTACAATGACGTTAGTGATGATGGTGACAATGATGGTGATGATGCCAGTGGTGGTGGTAATTGTGGCAATTGTGATAGTGACAGCTAACATTTATTAAGTGATTTCTACATTTCTAGGCACTTTGTTAGGCTATTTACATGTAGTATCCGTTTCATTCTCAAATAAAACCAGCTTTTTTGGTAATCATTATATACACTCAGAGAGGAATAAATTGAGAGTGACAATAGTTACAGAAAGGCATCAGGCATTTTATACATAGGGTTGCTGTGAGTCATGCTTGACTTGACAGCAATCAACAACAACAGGAAAGATTACTCCTTTATAGAAGTATTTATGAAGGAGAAAACATAACAGGATAGTGGTCCAGATATACATAAATTAACCATTTCTAAAGGATCTATGAATTTCAAGCATCTAATAAATTGGCTTTCAGAGGCATCTCAGAGAGTCAAATGTAAAAGGAGTTTTGCCTAATTTGACTTCTTTTGCTGAGTAAAGCTCCTGAACGAGAGGCTTGGCTCCGCAGCCAACACTCTTGGCACCAGCAGCCAGGAAATTAAAAGATGTATTGCGATGGGAAAGTCCGCTGTTAGAGACCTCTCCAAAGTACTGAAGAGCAATGGTGTCACTCTCGAGACTAAGGTGCACCCGGTACAGGACATGGTCTTTGCAATCACTTGTTATGCACCAGAGAGCTGGACAATGACTAGAGAGGATAGAAGGAGAATTGATGCCTTTGAGCTGTGGTGCCTAAGAAGAGTATTGAGTGTACCATGGACTGCTAAGAAAATGAACAGATTCATCCTGGAGAAGGTTAAACCGATCTGCTCTTTGGAGGCAAGAATTCTGAAGCTTTGTCTGACATACTTTGGACATGTTGCAAGGAGGGACCAGTCCTTGGAAAAAGACATCATGCTTGGGAGGGTGGAGGGACAGCGCAGGAGAGGAAGACCCTCTATGAGGTGGATTGACTCAGTGACTGGGGTAATGGAGACAGATGTGTCAGAGACAGTGAGATTGGCACAGAATAGAGCAGGGTTTAGCTGTTGTACATAGGGTCGCTATGAGTCGCTGGCGATTCGACAGCACATGACAACAACAAGTAAACATATACATCCTCTCTGTGTTAAGTTTCTGCCACTGTAAAATGGGGATAATCAATATATTTAACCCAGTAGGGTTGGTGTGAAGATTGAATTAGAGAACACATTCCATGCACCCAGTAGGCTGATTGGCATATGTCGTTCCTGAAATATGTCAACTGCTTCATAATAGATATTGAGGGAGTGACAGCAATGGTAGGTAGGGTGTGGGTTAGACCTCTTATTTGACAGCTACCTTTCATAGATAAACATTTCCTGTCAAATGGAGTCTGTACCAACACCATTCATTCTTGCATGCATTTACTAATTCAACCCTCTGTTATATCTGGGTTTTTGTGCTGTTTATTTACCGAAATAAAGCTCCTATTTGCCAATACAGAAACGCTTAGTGTATAGCACTGGAATCCCTGGGTGATGCATGTGGTTAACTTGCTGAGCTACTAATGCAAAGGTTGAAAGTTCCAGTCCACTCAGAGGTATCTCAGAAGAAAGGCTGGGGAATTTACTTCTGGAAAAAAAGCCACTGAAGACTTTAGGGGGCACAGTTTGACACTAATGCACACGAGCTCATGACAAGAGAACTAATTCAACAGCAACTTGCCTTTGACCTGGTAGTAGACAGAACAAAGAGGGTAGGGGCAATTGAGGCATAGAAATCTCATTTTCATGTAGAAGACTCAGCTTTGATTTCTGGTCCATGGATCTCATGCATAGCTACCACCCATCTGTCAGTGAAGCCTAATGTGTTGCTAAGATGCTGAACTGGTCTCAGCAGAGTTTCCTGACACTAGGACTAAGACTAGGAAGAAATGTCTTGGTATCTACTTCCAAAAATCAGTTAATGAAAACTCCAAGGTTTAATCCATAGCGATCCAATTACACTGTGCAGAGGGTCACACCAGGGCCAATCCAACAGCAGCTAACAACAGCAGATAGAAATGACCCAAATCTTCACCATTCTCTGTATTCAATCTCCTTGCCTTGTAATTCTGAAAGTCAAAATAATTCTGAAGGCAGAATATACTTCCCCATCCTTTGGCTCTGGAGTTGTCCCCCAGACCTGCTGTAGACAGAGGACTGTTAGCAGGAGGCATGATACAGCAGACCTTTGAGATGCGCCTGTGCGGCTAGGTGTGTCTTTCTCTGCCTCTGACAGGACCAATCAAAGGCCTCCCCTCATAGCTGCTGCTCCTGCAGCCTGCGATCCTGGAGCAGAGAGTAGAGCCAGCACTGTCCAATCTGAGCCATTTCAATCAAGCTGTCCTCTGCAGAGCAAAGCCAATGATCACTGCTGTTTGCCTGTCAGAGTTCACAGCAATAGCTGCCCAGCAAGGTCCCCCATCACTAGTACACAGCCCAGAACATGGCCAGGGATCTGAGGAAGGTACAAATACCCTACAGGGAAGTCAAAGAGTCAGATGTTCTTATTTCAGAGTTAAATATAAAACACATTTTGTGTTCTTGGTGTCACCATGAGAATTCAGGGTTTAAACATGGGAATGGATGGAAGAGATAAATTTGCAGGGAATTCTGGAGGCTTTTTACACTCTAGCCTTAGTGTATCCAGCTTTTAGAAGAACCAAGGATATGGTCATGGGGGCTGCAGAAGATGTTCTTTTTAAAATATTTTTTTTTGTTTATTTGTTGTTTTTTTCTTTTCTTTCTTTCTTTTTTCTTTTTTTTTTGAAGATGTTCTTCAGGAGAAATCCTAAGCGCTCTGTTTAGACTCACATCAACCTCGTGTGCCGGCTCTGTGCACTTGCTTCTGTCCATTTGGATACTGTATGCAATCTGATCGGAGCTAGATGTCTCTCCGTCAACTCTAATAAACAGGACATAGTCTGGAACCATTTCTGAATGGGACCTCCATCCAGCTTCAGCCCTCTGCCCTAAACGTTCATATCCTATTCCCACTCATTCACGTGTTGGGTGTTAACCTTCCACTGTTAGTGAACGTTGCTTTTGCTCTTTTGAGGTTATTATATTAAAGACCAGGCCCTAAAATCTTACTGAAGGACTTAAAAATCATATCCAGAAACTCCAGCCATGAAGTCCAGTAGGATAGACAGGGAAGGGAATGTGGAGAAACAGTTGGCCCCGTGAGCACGTAGAGCCCCAGATCTCACTGTCATGCTCTGCTGTGACTCACAGTGACCCTTGACGGTAGCGTGGAACCGCCCGTAAGCTTCCAAGTCTGTAACCTTTAGAGAAGCAGGTTGCCACATCTTTCTTCTGTAGGGTAGGTAGGAGGTGCATTCAAATGGTGGATCATTTTGTTAAGATGAATGATTTAGCCACTGCGACACCAGTGTTCCTATCAATTAATTGACATGGTCCATAAATGTCATGATTCCAGTAGACTGTAAGCTCTGCAAAGGCAGGCCCTGTGGTTTGTTTGCATGCAGGACATCAAGGGGAACGTGCCATGTAATCCCAGGGGGTGTGCGCTCATTCTTTATATTCTAGGTTTGGCCTCTGTCGCGTTCCTTCACAGGAAATAACTGGCACTGTCATGCCAGCATCATGGGACTCCAGCTATTCGAGGGCCCAAGGTCCGTCCAGAGCCTTACGGATCGAGGAAGGGGAGCTTGGCCCAAAGTACCTGCGATCCCTCTTGTGTAATTTATTTTGCAGAATGCAGAGATGAGGGCGCTCTGGTGGCCTAGAGGTAAGAAACTGTGCTGCAATCCTGAAGGCATGCAGTGTGAATCCACCAGCTGCTCCACGGAAGAAAGATGGGCCATCTCCTCCCATGTGATTAACTGATTTTGAAAAGCCTCTGGAGGGCTGGCTATGGGTCAGTTACGACTCAATTGTACGCAACAACAACAACGTAGAGAAGAGAGATCAGAACTTAGGGTAACCTAGTTATACAATGCTATCGCTCCAGGACAAGGTTTTTCAGCACAGCGTGGTTGATGTTTTGGGACTAGATAATTCTTTATTGAGGGGTTAAGAGGAGTGTTCTGTGCCTTGTAGCGTGTTTATAAGCCTCTCTGATGTCTGTCCACCAGATCAAAAATGTCTGTTGTTAGATGCCTTCAAGTCAACTGTGACTCACAGAACAATAGATTTGAACACTGTCCTCCCTATCCTGAGCCACACACTTGCTCTCCGTCATTGCTCAAGCCCACTGTCCTTGCATCTGTGTCACTTCATCTCATTGAGGGTCTTTCTCTCTTTCACTGGCCTGTCTCAGAATGATGCCTCTCTCTAAGGATTGGTTCCTCATAAAAATATGCCCACAATGTCTCTAAACACTCTCAAATGTCTTCTAGGGACCATCATCTCCCTCATCCTTTATTAAGAACCACTGCTCTGGAGAGAGGAACTAGTCTCTAGAATCCTTGCTTTATAGGTCCAGGATATGGATGGAGATCTAACTTTTCTATAAACTTTTGTTGGAAATACAATAAAAAAAAGAAAAAGAAAAGGCCCAGGATAGACTGTCTTGTTTTCCCTCTAAAACTCCATTTACTCTTTTTATAAAATTGAAGTCATCCAGATTTGGTTCCCATCATAAGCTATCTAAAGGACCATGACATCATGTATTAAGACACTCAGTTCATACACACTTCCAGTGAGTAAGCCATCATAGAAAGACCCCTTAGGAGCCATCTAGAAATCACAGTGAGAAAGAGAGTCGTGGGCCCCAAAGAAAGCTGGCGTCATCTAGGATCTTACCATCACCCACAAACTGCAGCAGGGCCAGGTCAATCTGCCTCTTCCAAGGGGAGCCCTTTTGGAGGGCGATTCCATAACCAGTGGTGGCAAAGATGTACCCGCTCCCGATGGTCACCAGCTTGCAGCCTTCATCCCTCCCGGCCTTGTAGTTCAAGACGGCCGCGTCGTAGATGAAAGCGTCCAGCTTCCTGAAATGACAAGAAACCAGGGAGTCATGGGGATGGCTGGGGACCAGATCAGGGCCTGGGCTCCTGAGGTCTGACCTAGCATCACACACTTGCTTTTGCACTGCAGCCTGGTGAGTCACGGCCGCACCAGCCCCTTGTCATAAAAGGATCTATTTTTAATAAGGAGATAAAAGCCACAACCTTTGCTTCCTAACTTACAAGAGGCAGCTAAATAAAGACATGCAGCATCTGTATGCCCAAGTGAGTAAACAGTCGAGTTTGCTGGTTTGCTAAGTGTTTTTCCTTAACACTGAACAATGTGAACAGTGGCCTATTTAGAGAGGTTTGCATCGGTACAAAGCAGACCATTAAGAGACAGGAGAGTTTAGTGGTAGTGCAGAAGAGAGGAAAAATGAACTAAAGAGAAATGACAGCTTTGTCTCCCCAAAGAAATACACTGAGGATTTGTTTCTATCACAAAATGTATTACATAATGCTTTCTTATGAACCAAACAATATAGAAACATTTTAAGAAGACAAGTACAATGATAATATAATTCCTCGTCCAACATATTGGTGGACAGCCTTTCAAATTTTTTAGGCACAAACATGCAATTTTTAAAGCAGAGGTCGGCAAACTTTGGTAAAGACAAGCCAGTAAATACTTTGGGCTTAGCGGGCCAGATGGCCTGTGTTGAAACACCTCAATTCTGCCATAGTAGCAAGAAAGTCATAGACAGCATGTATATGAATGAGCTCTGCTGCGTTCCAATAAAACTTTACTTACAAAAAAAAGGCCTTGTAGCTTGTAGAGACTTGCTTTAAGCCCCCAAAAGTGATCATATTGTATAAATAATTTTACAAATGGATTCATTTTCTCAAAACCGAATGAACATGACATTTTTCAATATCATGAATATACATGACATTTTTTTATAAACATGGCATTTTTCTTTCTGTTTTAATTTATTTATATGTACTGAGGTAGTGAAACAGTTAAACATGAGGCTGTGAATCTAAAGGTCGTTGGTTTAAATCTACCCAGAGGCTCCAGAAAAGAAAAAAATTGGCAATCTGCATACATAACGATTCTTAAACATAGCTGTCAAGTCATACGCCTCAGCTGTCCCTCGGTCACGTTTCCACATCTGTAACACGCCCAGGAGGAAACTGCTCTTTTCTCTCCCACGAGTTACGGATGGATTTGAACTGCCAGAGAGGTGTGGCCTTTGCGTTAGGAGCACAATTTCCTATGCACTAGGGTACAGACGACTGAGATGACAGCTGAGAAAGCCCTGTGGGGCAGTCCTGCTCTGTCACATGGGGTCCCTAGGAGCTGAAACAGACTTGACAGCACCCAGCAACCTCATTTATATATAACAAAGCATGAATGCAGATGACACAACCTTGCTTGCTGAAACTTGGGAAGACCTGAAGCACTTGCTGCTGCAGAAGGTCAAGGACTGCAGCCTTCAATATGGATTGAAGCTCAATATCAAGAAAACAAAGATTCTCACCACTGGACCGATTGGCAGCATCATGATAAATGGTGAAGGGATTGAGACTGTTAACAACTTTAGTTTGCTTGGCTTCACAATCAATACTCTTGGTACCAGCAGCCAGGAAATTAAAAGACAAATTATACTGGGAATGTCTCCTGTCAGAGACTGCTCCAAAGTACTGAAGAGCAATGATGACAGTCTGGAGACTAAGGTGCACTTGGATCCAGGTCATAATCTTTGCAATCACTTGCTGTGCATTAGAAAGCTGGACAATGACTAGGGATGATAGAAGGAGAATTGATGCCTTTGAGCTGTGGTGCTGGAGAAGAGTGTTGAATATACCATGGACTGCCAGGAGAACAAACAGGATCATACTAGAAAGGATGAAACAAGGCTGCTCCTTGGAGGCAACGATTCTGAAGCTCTGTCTGACATACTTTGGGTATGTTGCAAGGAGGGACCAGTCCTTAGAGTGGGACATCATGCTTGGTGGGGTTGAGTAATAGCGCAAGAGAGGAAGACCCTTGATGAGATGGATTGACTCAGAGACTGGGGTAATGGGGGTGGGTGTGTCAGAGAAAATAAGGCTGGCTCAGGATAGAGCACAGTTCAGAGCTGTTGTGCATAGGATCAGTACGAGTAGCAGGAGACTTGATGGCACACAACAACAGCAACAACAAAGTGTCTGAGTCTTAACAGTGAGCGCCATGGATCCCAATCCCAAGTGACAGAATAGAACTGTCCTGTAGGGGTTTCTTTGCTTAATCTTTACAGGAGCAGATTTCTAGATTTCTTTTCTTTTTTTTTTTTTTTGTTCTAAAAGGCCATTGTGTGGGTTTGAATCACCAATATCTTGGTTAGTGGTCAAGTACTTGACTTTCACACCACCAGGCTCCTTCCTCAAATGAGACGAGCTAGCTCAGAGAGGATTCAACTGTCTGCTAAATTCTCATCCTCGTGGCCTTCCTTTCATTAACAAGGAAGCAGAGAAGAGCAATGCCAAGGAAAATGTAAGTTGCAGGGAGCAGAAGTAAAACCTCAGCCCTCCAGAGACAGTGGCGGAGGAAAAGGAACTATGGGGGAGGTTTACAACCATGTGCCTCATTTGAATTTTTTCTTTCTCTAATGGCTAGAGGTGCGACGAAACTGCAGGGCTTGTCTCACCAATGGAAAGATGTGGAAGCTTTTCTCTCCAGACTGCAGAATCAGAGACTTGGTTTTAAGCTCTGAGAGTATTAAAGAGGATCAGACGAGGCAGGCGGGGGAGGAAGAAAAGCGGTCATTGTCGACAGTGATGGCAGGGCAGAGCTGACAAGCCGGGAAGAAATCGTCTTTCCACAGAGCCACAAATCCTGAGACCCATGGAAACAGGCCTTGGGAGTTAGGAGACTCGGGAACACTCCATGCAGGCTCACTGGCAGCTGTGTGATGGGCTGCAGGAGGAGGTGGCGAAGGATGGGAGTTCAGATCTGCTTAGAGCAAGCTCAGGAAATTCATACCCTCCTTCTTAATGACTGTCTCTTCATCTGTGAGAGGAGGCGATCCCAGGGAGTCTTTTGAGGTGTTCTTCCAGCTATGGCATTCTATGGCCTCCAAATTAACAGTCACATTCTGTCTCCTCCACCAGGGAAACTGAGTCATTGCCTAACGTATGGGGGTAGTGCTCACAGTCTTCCACCTTTCCCATCTCAAACGCAGCATGTGGTGAGGTGCCTTGAGAGGATACCTTTCTAACCCCTGCTCTACTCAATAGACATACTTTAAAGCTCAAAGACAAACTAGCTCAAGAAATAGGGAATATCACCTGGGAAAGAACTATGCTCCAGTGAAAAATAAAAAATTACTTACATGAAACCAAATGGCACACAATCACGCACGTGTGTGTGTGTGTGAAGATGAGAAGATAAGGAAACAGGGAAACTAGATTAATAAGTGCAAAACAACCAGAATGGGAAAAGTGAGAATGTCCCTACATCGTAAAAAAAAGAAACAAATGCCACTGAATGATTTGTGTTGAGATTGTTGACTAGAGATCTAAACTGCTGTGTAAATTTTCATGACAAATACCTAAAATTTTTTTTAAATAAACACACACACACACACTCAAATGTTAAGGTTATCTTTTCATAACCATGGGGTGCAGGGTTTTTTTTCTCCCACTGCAGAAATATTTCTGGGAGGGAAATTGAAATGCACACTTGGCCCTTATAGAAGACTATGTATTTTATGGATAAGCCAAAGAAGAAGCTAATCTGTCCTGGAGGAAGGGCAGCCAGGGTGCTCCTTAGAGGCAGACGGGTCAAAGTATGTCACACACTTTGGACATGTTGTCAGGAGGGACCAACCTTGGAAAAAGACATCATGCTGGGAAAGGCAGAGGGTCAGAGAAAGAGAGGAAGACCTCCAAGATGAATTGACACAGTGTCATATTGGGCTTGAGCATGACAGAGATTGTGAGAATGGCGCAAGATAGGACAGTGCCCATCTGTTGTCCGTAGGGTCAGTGTGAGTTGTAACAACTCAATAGCACCTAACAACAATAACAACATAGACAAGCACAGATATATGCAAATTAGAACCTTATTTCTGGGTGAATCTTTCTCCAGCTAAACAACCAACTGGAAGACGCAGAAGGCAAGAAAGAGGGCTTTCCCAGGGGAAGGAGCTTACAGGAGGCAGGATGCTGCCAAGTCAGAAGATGGGCAGGTGCAAGAGTGGAGGGATACTCTAACAAAAGCAAATCCACCACCACGAACTTGGGTGAGCTGGGGGCTCTGATGTGGAAAGCAGATAGGCCTGCCTGTCCAGACCAGATAGCCTGTGTCTCGGGATTGCACTAGAAGCAAAAAAGACAGCATGTGGACATAGCTCTAAGTTCAGGTCAGACACTTGTCTTCTTCATCAATAGTTCTAGAGAGTCTGGGTATAAATCAGTGACCACAGACATTTACATGTTCGAAAGTGTCCTGGGCTTGCAAAATCCCCTTTAGTTGAATTTGACTGCTTAAGGAAAGAATGCACATTGTTTTACTTACATCCATTTCATCAGCACTAAAAATATCTCTCTCTCTCTCTTGGTGTTTCTCTCTTGGTCTCTCACTCTCTCGGTCTCTCTCTCTCTCTCTCTCTCTCTCTCTCACACACACACACACACACACACACACACACACACACACACACACACACCCCTGTGCTGTCTCGTCAGTTCAGGCAGACTCATAGCTGATACTCCACCGGGTCTTCAAGGCTGTAAATCACAATAAAAGGACTTTTTTTTTTTCCTGAGGAGCAGTTGATGGATTCAAACTGCCAGAAAAATCTCAGCCTTTGGGTTAAAAGCACCTTCACAACTACCCAGTAAGAAACTATTACGATTATTCCTCTGCTGCCTCTAGGGTCAGTGACTCAACAGCAGAATTCACACCTTCCGTGAGGAATACTAATTGATCATCCCACCAAACAGATGCTGCCCTGGATGCTCTCATCAGGCTGTGCTGGGAAATCTGGGGTACAGCAACC